TTCCTATCAATAATATTTGTGATCCATTTACTGTATTATTTCATGCATTAAAGTCTTCTAAAGATATTATTATTAGCATTGATGATTTTATACTTATTCTTGACTTCTGTCCAATGCCAACAGCTGTTGATTTTGAAAATGCTGATATATGTAGTTGGATATAATTAAAAGATGATCAATTTGATTGGCTACTTCAATCCGATGAAACAGAATCATTGGGTCCTGGACCAACTTTAGATCATACAACAAATTCAGCTCAGGAACATTATATTTATATTGAATCTTCATTTCCTGCTTAACGAAATGATACAGCTCGAATAATTAGTGAACAATCATTAAATGGATAAGATTGTTTTTTATTATGGTATCAAATGTATGATGAAGATATTGATTCATTAGTTGTATATACAAGTACGAAATAAAATCTAAAGACTCCAGTTAATCGAATAAGTAGTGAACAAGAAAATCAATGGAAAAAATTAGATACTGATATTGAAATAACTTTACAAAATAAGGAATGAGTACGAATTATAATTGAAGGTGTTGTTAGAACAAGTTTTCAAAGTATTAAGAAAAAGAAAATATCTTTCTTATTTAATCAATAATTTTTTTCTTGACTGATATTGCTATTGATCATATCGTTTGGTCACCTAATGTTACATGTGCAGCAGCAGAAATAAGACTTATTATTATTCCAAGAAATTATCTTTTGTATTAATATTCAAAAGGATTTATTAATTTTTCTTTTTGTTTATTTAAAATAGCACCAAGCATATATGATTGTCATTTTGAATGTAATTGTACATGTAAATGAACACATGATGAATCAAAATCTTGATAAAGCTCTATGGCAAAAAAGGCAATCAAGTAATTAATTCATTTAAAATTATTTGTTTAAAGTATTTTATTTATTTATTTTTAGAATTATCAATGGTTATTTATTCTTATGTCATTATGTGGTAATATTGAACAAACAATTGTTCAAGCATATCATTTAGTTTTGAAAGATATTGCTGGTAAAAATAATCTAAGTGATATCAATGTTGATGATCTTGCTGTTAATCAAGGATCTTAACTAGCATCAAGTAGATTTATATATTTTTTATGAAATTTGATTTTAATTATTTCTATTATGTTAACTGTTTGTGATTTTTAACGTAATGATACATGTGGTTATGTTAATGATTCAACACATACAATCGATTGGGCACGTTTTCAAGCTGGTACTAATCCATGATTGCTATCTTGGATGTTACTGATGGCTCATCACATGAACATTTTTTGTTATTAAAAGTAAGGATTAGATCAAGAACAGTAAGTGATCGTCTTGTAACAGTAAATTATCGTGATATAACTGGTTCGTTTATACGATAATACATATTATTAGACAATAAAACAACATTAAATGTGCAAACTTATGCATTTGGTACATTAAATCCCAAAATACTTTGTACTGCTTATGGTAGTTAAGGTAATCAATGAAAACTATCTCAAACAATAGTATAAACTGGATCACCGTATCAAATTGTATTGGAAGGTATTTTAAATAATAAATTAGGTTCAGTGGCTATGGATGATGTTGGTATTCAATCAAGTGTATGTAAATAATTAGATTCATATGATTCTGAAAAAGGTTTATGTAGTTTTCAAAATCTTAAATTTGATTTTAATTGGAAACAAACATATTTTTATGTTGAATTATATAATGCACCACCATATGATCAAACAACAAATATTATACAAGGTTTGATAGAAAATGAATATTTTTATTTTCTTTAGGATTTTATTTATAGATGATTCGAATACAATCAGTTCAAGGTAAAATGACTCAAACTGAATCTGAATTATACCAGTTGTTATACAATGTATATCATTGTCATATTATATGAATAATACAATTGGTATTCAATTAAATGTTTATATATCTGATCCACGTTTAAATACAAATAATTTAATATGGTCAGCAGATCAAATTCCTGATTCATTTTGGTATTACAAGAAATAAGTGTCACATCAAATATGACTTAATGGAACAAATAGATTTACCATTGTTTATCGCGATAGTAAATTTTATTTAAAAGAAGAGGAAAATCGATGTTTAAAAACAAAAAGCAAACAGACGGCGTGATAATAGAAAGAGAGAGAAGAAAATAAAAACAGATAATCTATGAGATTGCCCAGAAAGCAGGTGATCATTTGGGTGTGGGTGTGTGGTGGGTGTGGGTGTGGGTGTTGGCGTGTGTGGGTGTGGGTGTGTGTGGGTGCGGGTGTGTGTGTGAAGCTATTATTATCTCACGCTGGCATCCCACTCACACTCTACATCCACACCCACCCTAAAACATTATATGTTATACAATGATTTTTGCTTCGTATTGATATATATATATATAAGAGATATTAGTAAGTTAGATTCTGTTAAAGTAGTAGCATCATCGTTTTTGCTGTAGTTGTTATGGTCAACCACCTGAAAAAGAAAAGATATTTATTGAGTGACAAATCCTATGAAAACGATAATTATATCTATCAAATGAATAGTATAACTTTAAATAGCAATAACTATTTGTGATTTTCAACGTCCGCAAAAAAAAGTTTCACAAATGATTCCATTTTTAAAAGGCATTCGACACAAATGCAACCATGCACAGTTCAATTTCAATTGAATATTAATATCGTATAAACAACAGTGCATACTCGATTGATCATTTCTGGTCAGAATTTTATTGATTCTTACCAAAGCGTTTTATTTAGATGAAAGACAGTTTTCATATATTTTTCTGTCGAGTGTTTTATGAACACGATGAATTTGAAAATATTTACGTTTTTCCCTCGACTGTAGGGAGGGTCATATGAAAAAAAACTAAAATGCGTTTGTCTGTCTGTCTGTTTGTGGAAGGTCAAAAAAACATTTTTTTTCGAAAATTTTTTTTTAATGCAGAAACAGACTTTTTGTGAAAAAATTAATTTTTTCAAAAACACCTGAAATTTTTTGAAAAAAATTTTCTTTTTTTGTGGAGGTCAAAAAAACATTTTTTTTGAAAAAAATTTTTCTTTAATGTAGAAACAGAGTTTTTTGAGAAAACTGCACTAATATTTTCTTAATGAAGTATTTCGATAATACTCAGATTTTTCAGCTGCAGAATGAAATTGAAGAAATCAGAAATAGTTCACAACGAAGCTTTGGTTTAGAAATCCCCGTTGAGAATTCTCATGCTATAGATCTAATGGTTTTTCAAATTAAGCCGAGTTTGGGTTTAGATGAAGTGAAAATAAAAAAGGATGGCGCTGTGGAGAAATAGAACGAAACATAGCAGCGGCTAGTCGTGAGTGGCGTCCCGGAGGGGCGTCGACGAACGATTAGCCGCTGCACTAGAAAGTCCCTTAAAGAAATGCTTCAAGCTGCTGGTATTGATCAAATAGACATCAAGAGTCTAGGCCATACGGGCTTGAATAAAGAGTAGCAGTTGCTAAGAACTGAGAAATATTTTGAAATAAAGTGTGAGAACGGCTTTTCTGCACGTATGGGATATTTGAATAGTACATTTGAGGGAAAACATTATTTATAGAATTTATATTCGTTCTATCGGAATGCTATTTGAATGAAATAAACGAGGGTTTCCTTGGTGGGATGCTTTCTTGTCGATACTGATTCAAATGTCGAAATGTATTTGGATATATTGAAACTACCTATCCAGTCTGATGGGTAATATAAGTAGGAGCTTCTTTCAAGTGTGGTAGTTCGATTATATACCAGACCTAATATGATTAATTGTAAGCTAGAAGTTCAAGTAAGCCCTATTTTGCTAGCGGACGCTCTAGTAAACAATATTGTCGGCAGATGTGTCAGCAAGCGAACGGACTTTTACTAGAAATTTTAAGGAGTATGGCGCGTTTTCACGAAAGTGTCGCGAGTAAGCTTTGCTTCAATACCTCTCAGAAAGCTGAATATAAGCTGCTTTTTGGGTACATATGGATGTCGTCATCATAGTGTGGTTCCTTAGATTTATTGTTGAGTGACAATGTGATGGTATCAATTTCATTGGATGCATTTGTGACAAAATGTTCATCCGGGCCCGCATAAAATTACGCACAATGAGATTGACGCCAATGTCAGCGTACACATACCTACCCACTCTTTTGGAACATCGGATACTAGCTGTGTTGAAGACTGTAAATCGGAAGAAAAAATGGAAACGACCGAATATGCAGTCGAGAGTCAAGCGAGTCACACGGACGAGCGTTACTTGTAAATAATTTCTTGTAAAAGATGCTCCGAACTTTACCTTTTTAATTGCTGAAGCTAAACCAGGTCACTACTGTATTCATTGCTACTATCGATCATTTTCGTTGACTTAGACTCGAAGTCTAGCGTAGCTACAGTTTTTAATTCAAGAAACATATTTAACTATTAGAAATAGTCATGATTTGTGCGCTACAGTTTTATCTTATCTAAGAAACTTGAATAAAGAACAAAAGCTTCGCTATTTGAAGAGCTTACTTACTAAATGAACAATTAGGTGATGTCAGTTCAATCATATATTTTTGTATTCGATTGTTTCCTTGATCGCTGACATACAAATTTCCTTCTGAATCAAATCGCAAATCCCTTGGACCATTTAATTCTTTTGCACCTGTCCCTGATGTACCACTGCAACCGGCAATACAAACACCGCCTGCCGTATAGTTACTTGACCACTTCATGATTCTGTTGTTTCCAGCATCGACTATATAGATGTACCTATGAGGCAACCGATATACATTCATTTGTAAGCTCTAGAATTTGACTTAAATTCAAAAGACAAATCGATATTTTCATGATATGTGCGAACAGCAGTGCATGTGAACGTAGTACGGTCTTAATCAAGATTGTGTGGAGAAAAGTTTTCCCCAAAAGATTCTTGTTTGTAGGTGCAGAAAAAAACGAGGTTCATTGTAATTTGATTTTTTATGGTTACTCCGCTAAAAGCATTTGGGCATGTCTTCTCTTCCTATGATATTTGACAGATGAAAATGCATTGGAGAAAC